TATTTGTCTTTCTCTGCCTGGCTTATTTCATCGAGCATAATACCCTCTAGATCCACCCATGTTGTTGCATATGGCAGGATTTTTTTCTTTTTATGGCTGAATAATATTCCATGTACCACATCTTCTTTATTCATTCATCTACTGATGGACACAGGTTCCTTCCATATCTTGGCTATTGCAAACAGTGTGGCAATAAACATAGGGATGCATATATCTTTTCAAATCAGGGATTTTATTATCTTTGGGTAAGTTCCTAGGAGTGGAATTACTGGGTCAGAATAAATATATTCTTAATTATGATATATCCAAATAATAAAAATCAAGTTCTGATTCATACAGTTATCCAATTAAGTTTTAATGAGTGCTCATTATATCCAAGGTGTGTGTAAAAAACAATGGACATAAGCAGGCACACAGGTTTTCATTGGCTTTCACACCTGACAAGCTAGAGAATAGTGATTCTCAAAAGGAAGTGTGGGTAGAATTGCAATATTTCCAGAATCTCTCACCTGGCCTTAGTTCATCTCCATATCAATAGGTATTTCCAAGGGGTGGAGAGAAGTACCATCTCCATATCAATAGGTGATTACATGGGGGAAGCAAAGGCATATCTGGACTGGAGAGATTGGGTGGGGTCCCTTTTTGCAGCAGCATCCTGAGAGACATGGGCAAGCAGAAGTGGATGACTGTAAGCAATAAATGGATTTCTCCCACTTTGATTCTCCCTTTGATTTCGGTTTCAAAGGTAATTTGCCTGGGCTGGGAGATAGATTTTCCCCCTGAGTTACAGGAGGATTTCTGGCTCAACCATCAGTGAATCCTCACAGAGATTTTGTGTGGAAAAATTCGAGGAAAACAATGTGAAAATAAACTAAATGTATTTGTCTGAGTTTATTATCTATTGCTGCAAACAAACCCCAAACTTAGTTGCTTAAGATAACATTGGTTGATTAATGTCTCATGAGTCTGAGGGTTGGCTGGTCTTTCCAAGTGCTCTTTCTTAGGATGGTGGCCTGGGGCAGCATTACAATAGGGTGAATTGAAGGCTGAAACTGCAGGACATCTTAAGCATAGGCTCAGGAACTTAAACCAGAGCACTCAGGCCACATTTTATTATCCACAAGTCCTGCTCATATTCAAGATTGTGGAGAATGGACTGGACTCCTGCGTGGGAGGGCTGTTGCAAAGTGACATTGCAAAGTGGCTGTGCTGCTGAGATGGGAGGATTTTGTGGTTACCAAACAAGCTAGTGTCCGCTGTGCTGATGTAAAGAAGCTGAGAAAGTTGGTATCTGTGGCACTTTCTTACAAGGGCTCAACCAATTTTCTCTCCTTTCTTCCCTTCAAGAATCATTCAGAGTTGAATGTGAAGGTACAGTTTTAATGGCGCTTAAGCTTGATGTCACTGTTTGTAATGCATACTTACAAAAAGCACCGACAGCTGCTTGAAGATACCAGTGTAGACTTATGTGACAGTCTTGTGTGATAAGATACCCAGTTATATTTGAATTTCAGGTAAGCAATGTAGTTTTTTAGTATACAGTCTTCCCTTGTGAACAGTTTGCCATATATTCCTTTTGAACTTTCCTATGAATAGTCCTACCTACACATATAAATTTAAAATAATAGAATCATATTTACTTTTACTAGTTGTTGTTTTCCTTTTCTGTATCTGTACATTAAGATTCCACTTGCTTTTTAAAAAGCTGCATGGTGTTTTGTGGTATGGACACACCATAATTTATTTGTTTAAATGTTCACTGATGCCTGTTTGGATTATTAACAATCTGTCTTCATTACAAAGAGTGGTACTACATATATCCTTGCATACATATCTTTGTGTATATCTGAAGTATGAAGTCCTAGGATTGGAATTGTGATGGAAAAGGACACATCTTGAATCCAGATTTCTAAAATGCCTTCACAAAGGGGATCATTTTAAACTTCACCAAAGGTCTTTTGAGTTCCCATCTCTCCACATTGCCAAACTATGACTACTTTAATCTTTGCTTATGTGACAGGAGATATAATCCATTTTCATAGCAAGTAGAGAAAAATATTGGGAGATAATGTCTACAGTAGTGAATAAGAGAAAAATTTATTCAGCAAGCAGGAGAAAATATATTGCTTCATTTCAAAAGGAAGTTTGATTTGTAGCAGTCTGGGAGAACAAATGCGTGGAATTCAAATTCAACATGGAAAACAGTTACCGAGGAATGGGTCGGTAGAGCTGAATTTCATCTGTCATTGCTGGCAATATACCTTCTTGTATTAATAACTCATACCTTTAAACTTCCCCCACTTGTGGAACACCAACTAAGCTAATCACAGTCTCCACTATCTCTTATACAATGACACCGCGTTTGTTTCCTTTATGCTTCTGAAATGAAAATGGTGGCAACCTGAAGTGAGGTGATGATGCATCAAACCAGAGGTAGTCATATGCCACGATGCATTGGGCAAGAGGTTTCCCAGGGTGCTTTTTTTTCTTCTTGATGCAACGAAATAGAGCTACTCATTTCTCATTTTTTTTCCTGGGCTGTCCAGAGAGGATTGCAAGTATTACTGTGCAAAACCCCCCCAACAACCCTCGCCTTTGTCCAAATAAAGGAAACCAAACCAAACCCAAGCTTGAAACAATTTTCTTCAGGAGAAGAATTCATATATTGGAAACTACCTCTTAGTGGCTTCTAGTTACTGGGACTTGTTCAGATCTTCACACATTAAGAAAAATAAGCTATCATACCTATTTTTCTTTGCTGAAAATTTAGCGGTTCCCCTCCATTTTGAAATCATCAGGTTGATTTTAAAAGTTGGAGCGGTACCTTAAAACCGTGTCAGATTAGGAATAAAGTATTTACAATGTCCAGAATAAAAAGGGAGGTCTGACAAAGAAGAAAACAGCAGAAAAGAGTGGGAATGGGAAGAGGAAGAAAGGGCTTAGGGAGGGCAACTGATGAGAAAATAAGCACTGTTTATATTGATGGTGTTACCAACGCTGCCCCAGGTACTGTTTCGTTTTTTATTGTTCCTCCTCCTATAAGCTTAAACTCTTTGCAGACTGGACAATGTCTTATTCATCTTTGTTTTCCCAGCACCCAGCAGGATGCCTGACAAACAGTTTATGTTCAGGAAATATTTTTTGACCTGAATCAAACCACACTATAAAACATTCTGAAATTATAGCTAGTCTCTGGGCATAGTTGAAGACTTTCATAACAAGCTTTGAAGTTGGTTGAGGGGCTTGTGAAAGATACAGATTCCTAGGGCCCATCCCCGAGATTTGGATACAACTGGTCTGGGGTGGATGGGTGGGGCCTGGGAATCTGCAGTTTCAACAAATGCCTCAGGTGTTTTTGATAGAGCTTGAGAACCAAAGGCAGCTTGTAAACTCACCTGGTAGATGCCTTAAGCCCTGAAATTGTCCGGGTATTTTAGATTTTGTGCCTCGAACTGAGAAGAATGTACGACTATCCTAACATGCACATTTACCCTAGAGATTAAACTAGAAGATCGTATTCGTCGTACACCAAGCCTCCTAAGACTCTTGGGTTCTAGATGTCTAGTCTACTTGGTGGGTCTGCAGATTTCTGAGAGTGCCCAGTCTTCGGTGCTGTAAGAGACCTACCAGGGGAGATCCAAGGAGGAACACCAATCAAGAGTGAATACTTCCGGCGTTTTCTGAACCTTTGAACTGCTTACAGATCATTAACATTGAGATAGGTCAAGGGAGAGGAAGGGAGATTCAGTGTATCAACAGAACAACGACAAAATGTTAATACACATATGAGATGTTCACATTTTCTAATGAAGACATGTTCATGGAAGCGATATTGAGAAATTGGGGGCAGGAGGCGGTCGGGGGTGAGGGGAGGCACATCTGTTCACCTTGTCTGTGAATGTAAGCTCACAGGGCAGAAATTCAGAAGAGACTAAAAGGTTAAGTGACCTTAATTTGAAGTCAAGTATCAGGGATGAATGGCTAGCATTGTTAATACAACACTTGTAATGTCAGCGTCACCCGCCAACACACTGGGATCTACCCACAGTCACTGACCACAGCTTTTAAGACTGCTTAGCCAGAGGAACCCACCAAAAATAGCAGATCAAGAATTTGCTTATTTATAAACACTAAATTTATAAAACTTAAATACACAGATGATTAATGGGCTTCCTTTGTTCAGTATAGCCCCTGGAAGGAGCTATGATTCCCACTGCATAGATAAATAACCTCAGGCCAGAGGGGTCACTTGACAAACTGAGGAACTTTTAGGTAGTAAGCGTGGTGCTGTTGGGTTAAATGTCTCAGCACCCTCCCCACACCCCACTGACTCAACCAGAACAGTACAATACCTGAAATATGTCTGTGGTGATGATGAACATCCCATTTGACCCATACTATACTGCTTTGATCTGGGTAAGGTCACAGTCACCTCCTTTACACACAGGAGGTAACCGAGGCCAAAAGGTATTGTAACCAATCTACAGCGCTGTAAAAGGCCGTGTGCGGAGGTGGAGCCCAGATCTGCCTCCAGAAATCAGCAGCTCAGATAAAGCTTTGGTAGCGGGGCCTGCAGGCTGAGGATGAAGGCCCAGCCTGCTGTGGAGCGCTCACAGGTACGCTAGGCTGCCAGCCGCGGCGGAGCTGAACAGCCTCCGGCGACTCACCAGGTCTGAGACCAGGACCCTAGGTGCCTGAGGGCGGGGAGATTTGCACACTTATCTGTAGGATCTAGAATAGTCTGGATTTACAAAATAACCTTCTTGCAAGACCTCTGTCTCCACCCGAAGCTGATGATCCTATCTGAAGTTTCGGCTAACGTAGGGCACCTACTAAAGGGCATGTCCCGCAGCCCCAGTCCTGGGAGCTGGACTGGGGCCAGCGCGGAGGTGGTGTCGGAGCGGAAACCTAACGCGGCCGGGCGTTCAGCTTAGGGCGGTGGGGACGCGTCCCGGGAGAGGGGGCAGCTCTCCGGTTCCGCTGCGGGCTGGCGGCGGGGGAGACCGGACGTGGCGCGAGCCGGGAGCGGCGAGGGGAGAAGGCGCAGTTCGCGGCGGCCGGCGGGGACACGGCGGCGGCGGGAGAGGGGCCCGGGCGGCTGTCCGCGCCCTGTGCATCCCGGCGCGCGCCGCGCGGCCTCCCGGAGCGATGCGATTGCAGGTCCAGGTAAACGCCCGGCCCGCAGCCCCAAGGCCGGCGCGGGGCTCCTCTCTACTCCCGGCCCCGAGCGCGACAGGAGGTCGTGGGGAGCTGGACAGGGAGTGCGCCCCGGCCGCTGGGTACACTTGGGAGAGGAGTGGAGACCCTGCCCATGCCCTGACCTCTTAGGAGGCGGCCAAACCTCACACTGGCTACCACTTACCTATTTTGTTGGGACCTGCACACTCGTGTGTAAGTGCACTGACTGAGCACTGACTGAGCACATTGTATTCCCTGCTTTTCGGCATATCCTGGTTGTGGAGAGCACTTTCTTCGGGATTCGCACCCCAGCGTCCCCACTAGCTGTAATCTTAAGCAGGTTGCATAACCTCTGTCCTTTGGCTTCCTCATCTGAAAAATGGGGTAAGAATAGTTATAATTTGACAATTAAATGAGATGCCACAGACACAATGCACTTAGAATATTGCCTGACGTAATTAGCAGGTTGCAGAAGTTTGCAATTGCTCGGCGGGTTTACAGGTTTACAAATGAAGCTGAGGGAGAAAAACAGTTGAGATTTGAAAAATTTCAGTTTGAGATCGCAAAACAGTTGAGGTTGCAAAAGTTTGTAATTGCTCAACTGATTTACAGGTAGGGAAAATGAAGCTGAGGGAGAATAACAGTTGAGATTTGAATCCAGGTCTGTGCTTTAAATACTAAGAATATGGATATTCTATGCATACATAGGAGTTCACTCAATTTGTTCCTGGGGAGAAGGTGGGTCACCCTGAACTGTCCAAGTGGAGACTGAGTTACTCAGTTTCTTGTCCCTTGTATATAAATTTTCATATATCAGTTTTCATTTGCTTTGGGGTCTCCCACAACAGATAAAGCATAAATTGTTCTGGCTTGGCTGGCATCTGGGTTTGGCCAGAAGAATTTCTTAGATTCAGCCCCAGGGGCTTATAAACCATTTGAGAAGGAACTCAGAATGAGTCTCGTTTTTTGAGCCCAAACTAGGGAGTAGTACCCTAAAATAATATTAAACTTGCATTGACATGTAAGAGCATGGATAACATTTTGAGCTGGTTGAACCCCAGCAGAGAGGGGAAAGACTCAGACAGCACATGATTTGCCACAAACTGTAGTATTGTTTGACCTATTTATAGTTCTTTATCACAGCTATTTTTTTTTTTTTTTAATGCCAGGACATCTATGCCAAAGCTGTCAAGTGTTTGGTAAATACTGAGCCTGAAATATGTCTTGCCTCTTTCTCTTTCTCACTGGGATTTTAAGCATAGGTTTTCATTCAGTATAGGCTGAAGAGCCCAATTATTTCTCTGTGTTACATCAGAAATCGACATGGCAGCTGTTCCATGTGAAAAACCCATCATTGTTAGATAAGGTATTCCAATGTGGGTCTCAGTTGTGCTGCTTCTTTTTCTTTTTTTACTTTTATTTTCCCTGGACTTGTATATGCACATAGTTCAGAGTCAAATAATTCTATTAGGCTTATTACTACAAACAACAGAACGTGCTTCATCGTACCCTGCTTTTCAGAAAGTGCAATCATGTTCATCTTTTTGCTAGCTGGTGCTTATGTCTAAATAATGCTTACATGCCCTCTTGATTGTTCAAGTTTAGTCATCATGTACTATCTGCTTAGCATGGACTATGAGCATTTAGCTTTATTTTGTGTTCCTGCACCTGCCATTCAACGTACGTCTTGTTTCTTCTCTCTAGCTTCAGAATATTAGTTATCTTATAATTTTTAGTTAGGTCAGTATTTAGTTCATTCAATGTAGCATGTGATTACTTACCCTTTCTAACTTCTTTTCTCCCAGAGTTGTCTCTCTGTGTGTGTTTGCAGAGTTTTCTATGAAGTTTTCATTAATTTAACTACAAGTTCTTTGGCAGTTGTTTACATCTTTACTCAAGGTGTTCCAGTTCCACCACATCTGTTTCAGTCAATTTTGTCTTCTTGGATGCAGCTTTCTGACCAGCTTTGCCCTTTGCCTCTTTGTTATGCTGGATCCTGTTCCTATTTGTATCCCATGTCTTCTTTCTTGATTTTTTTCCCCATCATTTTGGTGGAGTTCACTCTCTTGTAGCTCTCTGAGAAAGGGTAGTGTAAGGTATGCACTGATGTATTCTTAGGACAAATTACCCTTTCAGGTTTTTTCCCCTTGAAAAAATCACACAAGCTACACAAAAGTATTTCTTGTAGTATGTAATTCAAACACTACAAATAGAAATTCAAACAGAAAGGTCCCTTTCTACCCTTCATCCTCATCCCCCTCCAATCCAGAGGTAATCAAAATGCTGGATTTGGAGCATATTATATACATGTTTTACTATGTACATATGTATTTATTGTTTTGATTGGTGCATTTGTTTTAAAGGGGATCTACTGTGTACATTGATATGCGAACTGATTCCTTTAAAACCATTCCTGGAGATCTTTCCATGTCAATACATCTTGATGCTTCCTTGAATACTATGTGCAGAGGAGCTGGGTCAATGAAGATCATACGTGTAGCTTTCTCTTGCTACCACTCTACTTTTTTCGTTACGACCAATCATTCTTCCAGATCTGTTGAGTCACGAAATATTTACTGAGTGCTAGTTATGTTCTAAGCCCTGTTCTAGAACCTTAGACTATACAGTGAATTAAGCTTTTATTTTTGTGGTAGAGAGGAGTGGTGTGATGCTTCTTCATGACAGAATTGAGCTCAGCTGCAGCTTCAGTTAGCTTGTTTTTCCTCTCGTAGAATACAAACATTCTTTAATCAACTCTCTCTTTCTGTCTCTGTCTCTCTCTCAGAATGAAATCATGACCATTACAAATTGAGCTCCACTACTGTGTGCCACTGGAGCCACAGAATCATACCCCGGAGATACAGAAATACATTTTTCTGAGTGGGCAAACAAAATGTGGTATACACACACACACACACACATATATACATACAAGGGAGTATTATTCAGTCCTAAAAAGTAAGCAGATTGTGATACATGCTACATGAATCTTGAAGACATGCTAAGTGAAATAGCCAGTTACCAAAAGACAAATACTGTATGATTACACTTATGCTGAGTATCTAAAGCAGTCCCATTCATAGGAAAAATAGAATTTTGGTTGTCAGAGGCTGAGGAGAAAAGCAAACGGGGAGTTGTTTATCCAGTTTCATGGAATGAAAAAGTTCTGGAAATTGGTTGCATGAATATGTGAATATACTTAGCAATAATAAACTGCACTCTTAAAAATGGTTAAGACAGTAAATTTTATTTTATGTGTATTTTTCTACAATTGTAAAAAAAAAAAAAAAGAGAGATTTTCACATAAACTCCATGATAGGATTGTCCTACAATTTGGTTACAGTGGTTGAACCTACTTACAGCTGACTTCAGCTATTGCCTGTAATCCATGACCTCTGTAGGGTGTGGGGAGCGGGTAGCAATGGACTGCCCTGGGAACTTTCTTCTGACCATGTTGGCAGGCTGCTTAGCTGGTCCCCCTGTTGCGGGCAGCCTAATGCTGCTCTCCCCTTCTCTCCTTGGTATTTCCGTATCTCTGGGAAAGAGGTTTCCCAATTATGTATAATAGTGATAAACCCCAAGACTGTTTCAGAGTGCTATGACCAAGTTACACAGTTGGGAGCAGTGCAGGTGGTCGCTCTGTGTGCCTCATAAGTAGCATTCTCTCTCAGGGTTTGTAAGCATGTGCCTTGAGAGCCTTCTGATCCATTTTGATGAGAAATGACGAGGTTGACTCGGTAGCACAGGTAGCTCTGGTCTCCCTGCACTTTGCTGCTGGTGTTTACTTTCCAGCTCTGGCCCAAGGTGGAGTGGTCCCCTGCCCTGGGCTGGCTCTGGATCTTGAAACACTCCAGGACCATTGAAGGGTCAGATGTTCCAGGAAGGCAGCTGTGCTGTGTGTTTTGACTGGATAGCTCAGTCTGGTGAATTTGGTCATTCTTCGTTCCACCTCTCCCTAAACTATGTGGCCATCATACAGAATTTTCTTCCAGGCAGACTGAAGGCCTAGTGGAGTGAAAGACCACAGGCAATTCTCTCCTCACTTTACTGCTTGTGGATTCAGAGCTTCTCATAAAGGGCCATTTTTGGTGTGAGCCAACCACTGGCACTGGAGTGGACCCATCCCTGTCTGCCTGCAACTTGTGCTTTCTATAGCAAGTATGCTGGGTGACCTTGGAGAAAATACACTCGTTTGGGCAAGTTTGATGTTTCCTTTATCCTCCCTATTATTGGAGTGTGTGTGATATGGGCCAGGACGGCCTGATCACTTTGCCCACCCCAACCAAAGAGACTTAAGGCAAAAGTTCGTTATGATTGGAAGATGACAGAGCCTGGAAATCATTTGCCATTTTGGAATGTCTAGCAGGTTCTTTACTTCATCACTGATCTTCCCCAGTTGCAACTGGAAAAGAAGCAGAATATGGTAATTATAACCTCTAGAAGGATTAGCAGGGAGGCAAGAAGAGTAGTGAAAGGAATCAAGAATCAGAACAGGTGGTTTTACTGTGGGCTGCCTTGCCCCCCTGGCCTCAGGCAAGTTACCTGAATTTCCTTATCTGCAAAGTCAACAGCCACCATTCATGGGGCCACCTCTCTCTAAGAGCTACAAAAGGGCCTGGAGCCAGACATTTCTTAGAAAATCTGATGAAAACAGTAGATCAGAGCTTAAAAACTAGCTAGAGTGGAACCCTGGCCTGGTGCGGCTTCCTGGTCTGCACCAGTGCTGACCCAGTGAACTGCCGTCAGGTAGCCTCAAACCGACGGGTTCTGCTTTTGTTTTCCCTTTCCTTAGTAAAGAAAATACAGTGTATAGAGTCTTCCTTGAATGTGAAACCTCTTGATTTTTCCATTTTCCTGGTTGCTTCAAAAGATTTTTAAAAACACTTTATTGATTGAACAAAACACACATGTGGCCTGCTTTTGGCCCGTGGGCTCTTTATATACATAGTTTCCTGCAATGGGTCCGCTTTTCTCTCTGCCTTTGCTGG